CTTTCTTGTGCTTTTTGCCATGATCCCCATAGGGTTCCTAGTCCCTCCGTTTAGGATGGGAGTAGGAGAGACATTAGGTGTTCAATCCAAGCATGTTAACATTAGGGTAGATGTTTCCCCTTTCAATCCTAACCTTAGGACCACTTTGCATGACAACGTTAGAGCCGATTTTCCCTTAGACCTTCCGTGCGTCTCTCTTTCTCATCTCAAAACAATTCTAACTCATCTAATAAATGTGATGAACATTGTGCGCTACGAGCCTTAAGCTACATAGGGAATGATGAGTGAGGGGTCTCCTCTCGCTTGTCTAGAGTGTTTAGTGTACGTCCCGTTTGGGGGCGATACGCGACGCATTCGCCCCTATATCATAGTCTTTAGTGCAACGTGAATCACAAACCGAATTAATTCACTTCACTAAAAAACACAAAACAAAACATCAAACCTTTTTCCTTCGGGATTAATCAGAAACCTTTTTTCCAGAAAAGAGTGTTGTTAAGCTTCAGTTCTACCGCAAACAGGCTTTGTCCCTAACTGCTGGAACAAATATTTAACCCTACTCGGTTAAAACGCTTAATCAACCTGTGGTTTCGTGTCGACCCGAACTACGTTTGCTCTGATTTCTCGTACCAGACGAGGATACGTAGGCACAAGACGCGACGTCTTGGCGAGCAACCTTCCCCTTTTTTTCGTCTGTAGTTAGCCGAACTACGTTGACTCTGACTTTCCCATTGCACGAGGGAATACGTAGGCACAAAGCGGCGATGCTTTGCCGAGTCTCTTTTCTTTTCTTTTTGTCCTGTGATCCTGTAGCGTAGATAGTTTAAACACACCCTTAGATAGACAACAAGCATGGATCCCGTCGAGTACGACGGACGTGAGGGGTGCTAATACCTTCCCCTTGCGTAACCGGCTCTTCTGTTTTCCGCCGGGTGTTTTTCGCAGTTGCGACAACAACAACAAGGGATTCTTCTCTCTTCTTTGCCCTATCCTCTTCTTTCTTTTCTCTCCAAAACACGTTCTGAAAACTTCTTCCCTAATTCCTTTCCTCTTATTCTCTTAATTCTTATTATTAATATTAATCCCTTTTAATTAAAATAATAATAAATAATAATAAAACTAATTATTTAATCTAAATAATATTCACCTTTTATTATTTAAATAAATAATTACTAACTAATATTACTAATTATTTTACTCTCCACACCACCCATCTTTACACAATTTATCACACACTCCTCAACCCTTAAAGTCTACTCTTAAGGTCACTACCCCACACCAAGGTATCTCAAACACATTAAGGCACAACACAACCAACAATTATCACACAATTAAAATACAATAAATAAATAAAATAAGTCGGGGAGTTACACTAGGCAGAGATATAACATCTATCTTGGTGATGGTCATGTGAGTATTAGCATGGTAGCCAGGATCCTTTTCAAGAATTCAAAAGCAACATTACATTCAACATCCCAGTCGAACTCTACTTGTTTCCCCAGCAATTTGTAAAATGGCAATGTTTATTGGGTCGATTTCAAAATGAACCTATTCAGGGTCGTTAGTGTAATACTTGAGGCCAAATAGTGGTTACATGTAACACCTGAGGGCGAGGGAGTGGTTGTCATTGCATGAGGCATCATAATAAGACACTCATAGCAACTTCTAGGGAAAAATTGAATTCACATCGGAATGAGAGGGATCCTAAGGTTGTGCAGATAAGAGACTGCATGGTTAAAGAAAGACTTATAAGGATTAGTGAGTATTACCTATACTAACAAGATGCATCTTCTTTTTGGTAACTCGTTCCATAAGAACTCCACATTTAAGTGCGCTTGACTCAGAGTAGTATTTGGATGGGTGACATTTTAGGAAGCTTCTCAAAAAGCGTGTGAGTGAAGACAAAAGCATGCTAAAAAGACCCGTGTTGGTTTGTGGGGTCAGATGATAATCTTGAAAGAAGTATGGGGCGTTACAGTTAGTGTCCCATTTAATTTCTGGATATCCTTCTTAGATGTTGAGGGATTAAACTAAATGAGTGTCTCACATTTGTCTGGGTTGGCTTCAATCCCCCTCTATGTTAGGTAGAAACCTAAAAAGTTGTCGACCCTTATAGCAAGGATACATTTCTCTGGGCTAAGCCTCATATTGTGTTACCAGACCCTTTTAGACACTCATTCCAGATATTCCAGATGTTGAGCATGAAGTGCATTTACTTCAGATTTCACGATCATATCATCCATATATACTTATATCATTTCCCTTATTTCTTCTTGAAAAACTTTATTCATCATCCTCTAGTAGGCTACCTCAATATTCTTTAGCCTAAACAGCATGACATTATACTTGTAGTTAGTTTGTTCTATCATGATCATTGTTTTCACTGGCTTAAGTTCGTGCATCAAAATCTGATTATTTCTGAAATACATGTCCATGAAAGATAGCAGTTGGTAGCCTATTAAATTATCGATGAGTTAGTCGATGTTTGGAAGAAACTACCTAAAACTGAACACTTCGACAATGCTTTTGAAAAAAATTTAATGTAAAGGTAAGGCTCGACTGAAATGAAAGGACATGAATTTGTAGGAAACAAAGTAAAGAGACTTTAAAACATTTAAACAAGGTAATGCAGAATGCAAGAAAAATGTAAATTGAAAGGAAGTAAAGATAAACTCTTAATGATTAAGCAAAATAAAATAAGTTTCATTAAAACGTAGAGATGGTGTGTTTACTTGACGTACATTCTCCTAGAACTTGTTTCTCTACACTCGGATACTTTGAATAATTTTGGGAGTGACATGTACAATAGTAAATTACAACACACCGAATTCTATTGCTAGAATCCTTTTTTATAATTATAAAATTAACTGCCATTAACCTCCTAAAATGATTAGCCTTTGACAAGTGTCACGTCGTATGTAGTTGTTCGCTGGATGTATGCCACTTGTTTTGTTCAGCAATGAGAAAGCATAACTACTCCCTTCTTTATTTGAATTTCAAATTCCACAAATATTTAACCAGCAGCCTCAGTCAAAGGTGGCATCTTTAATATTTGGAAATATTTTATAAGTCCCAAATACTTAAATAACTCAGCCTACTCGAAGGTCTCTCCACTCGAAGATTTTTCGTACTTCTTCAAGAGTTTAATATTTCATCTAAATATTTTAATTTAATATGGGTGTTGAATTTGTGAGCTAACAACATGAAAACTTCTTTGGGTGGAGAACGAGTTATTCTCGATGGATACACGGGAATCAAAAGTCAATTCCCACAGACGGCGACACTGCTCCATTCTAGAACCAGAAATATGTAGAGTCATGGAAGCTGTGGTGAATGAGAGCTTCCGATGCGACAAAGCAAGGGGTGTATTTGCAATGTTAGCACTCTGACGCTCAAGTCAGCATGTGAATGATGAAAGAATATTCAAATTGTGTTTGAAACTTGTTAACTGAAATGACGTCATCCACATATATAGGAGAGAAGAATAATTTCCTCGCTATCTTCCCGATGCAAAATGTGGGTGACCGTTATATACATTGGGGGTGCAAATCCCCTACTTCCAGGTCTCTGGGGGTCTCGTGGTCAGAGGAATATTCTAGAAGTTTATTAAATGTCTGACTTGGATCCGAGACGTTACGTCTTGCATTAGTCAGGCAAAAAGGGATATGACCGACCCAGAATAATGATCATGGTAAATTAATTGTTATGCTTGAAACAATTGCTTAACAAAACTTATGGATTTGACACATATTCTTTGGGGCACTTGGTTTAAACAATCACGTCAATATGTTGAATCAGTCCAACATCTTCAATGATGTTATGCAAGGGCGAGATCATGAGATCCATTTTACAATCAATCACATTGAATACAATATGAGTTATTATATATCAGATGGCATTTATCTTGAATAATAATAATAAAATTATTCATATTTATTTAAATAGATCGGCCTGACATGTTTAAAAAAACTTTTTATGGTTTGAGGTGTAGAATTTTTACCTTAAAAAAGTCTGGCCTGCTCTTGGCCTGTGTAGGTTAGACCGTATGTCTTCTGTTAGTTGTCACGACTTATTCCCTCTCATAGTTCTTGATGACGAAAATAACAACAATAGAAATTTATTTTTATTTTTCATGATGATAATTAAAAATTATTTTGAATCTATATTTTTCATTTAATTTGTGTTATTAATTTATTGGCTTAATGCATCTTTTGGTTCTTTAATTTATTTTAATATCTCACTTTGGTTTCTTAGCTAATAAACATTACTCCCTCCGTTTTAAAATGAGTGTCGTTTTAGGGGAAAACTTTTGTTTCAAAATGAATGTCATTCTCACTTTTCAATGTAGTAATAAATATAATTGCTATTTTTTCAATTTTATCATATAATTATTACTGTGTACACTATTTCCAACACATTAATAAGACTAATTTAGTAAAAATTGAATATTTTACAACAACATCATTGCATTCCTTAATATGTGTACAAAAACCTTAAACGATAGTCATTTTGAAACGGAGGGAGAACTATTTAGTCCCTCAAATAGGATTCTAGTAGCCAACATGACCATTTATGATAAATTTTGAGAAAAAAATGTTAAATTATACATATGTAACAATCTAATTGATATAATGTAATCTGACATTAATTTTCTATTTATATTTTACATATTATTATTCGAGAAACTGCAAAAAAGACTAACACCGAACCCTAGATTCTTAGAAACACAAAGAGCAAATTCATCTTCATCTTTAATCTTCATCTTCATTCTTCAAAAGGTTGTTGACACAAACTTTACCTATTTTTGTTTAATAATTTGTTTTATTTTAAAAATATGTTTTTTTTAATGCATTTTGATGTATTTATTAGGTATAGTGTAGCCAAGCTTTTTCTTTGGGTTGTTGCTTTTGCTTAGGTTGAAATTCAAAAAACAGAGCATGTTCTCTCTTCTGTCTCAGTTTCTTCTTCACCCCATTCCTACCAGTTTCAGAGTGTGTCTCTGAATGCTTCCAAGAATCTCTTCTCTCTCTCGTTTTCGTCTTCTTCATCACATGGGTACCACCACCTCTCTCTCTTCTTTGTCTTTTCCACTTCACTGTCATTGCACCAAAGCAACTAACTTTGATCATGAATTTGATTCGCATAGCAACAGAACCCAGTTCCTGAATTCATTGAGAAACCAATTCCAATCAGGTAAACTGAAAAACATTCATCAAGCTTTGAACTTTTTTCATATTATGGCTGGAATGAACCCTTTGCCTTCTGTACTAGACTTTACTTTGTTATTAGGGTTTATTGTGCGGATGAAGCATTACACAGCTGCTATATCTTTGGTTAAACAAATGTATTCTTCTCTAGGTATAAAGCCTGATACTTTTACTCTCAATGTTGTTATTAATTCACTTTGCCATTTAAAGTTGGTTGCTTTTGGATTTTCTGTTTTGGGGACTATGTTTAAACTTGGTATTGAGCCTTCTGCTGTGACTTTTACGAGTCTTGTTAACGGGTTTTGCGTTCGAGGCGATGTGGGTCGGGCCGTGGAGTTGGTTGAGCGTATGGAAAAGATGGGGTGTCGGTCTGATGTTAAAACTTATGGGGTGTTGATTAATGGGTTATGTAAGATGGGGGAAACTTCTGAAGCTGTTGGGTGGTTAAGGAAGATGGAAGAGAGAAAATGGAACCCTAATGTGGTTGTTTATAGCATAATTATGGATGGTTTATGCAAGGATGGATTTGTATCCGAGGCGTTAAATTTGTGTTTGGAAATGAGTAGCAAAGGTATTCGGCCTAATCTTGTGACTTACACTTGCTTAATTCAAGGTCTTTGTAATTTCAGCCGTTGGAGAGAGGCTGGCTTGTTGTTGGAGGAGATGATGAGACTGGGAACGATGCCGGATTTGCAAACACTTAACATTTTAGTAGATGCTTTATGCAAAGAAGGTAAAGTTATGCAGGCGAAAAGTGTGATTGGGTTTATGATTATGTTAGGGGAAGCGCCAGATGTGTTTACCTATAACTCTTTGATTGATAGATATTGTTTGCAAAATCAAATGAATGAGGCCACAAGAGTATTTGAACTAATGGTTAATAGGGGTTGTTTACCGGACATTGTTGCTTATACTTCACTCATCCATGGGTGGTGTAAGAGTAAAAACATTTATAAAGCTATGCACCTCTTGGATGAAATGATTAAGGTTGGATTTACTCCCGATGTTGTCACATGGACCACTCTAATAGGTGGATTTTGTCAAGTCGGAAAACCGTTAGCTGCAAAGGAGCTATTTTTAAATATGCACAAATACGGGCAAGTTCCGAATCTTCAAACTTGTGCTGTTATATTGGATGGACTATGTAAATGCCAACTTCTTTCTGAGGCATTGCCGTTGTTTCGGGCATTAGAGAAGAGTAATCTAGATCTTAATATTGTGATTTATAGCATTATACTTGACGGAATGTGCGATGCTGGAAAACTGAATGCTGCATGGGATCTTTTTTCCTGTTTGCCAGCTAAAGATTTGCAAATTAATGTTTATACTTATACCATTATGATTAACGGTTTCTCTAAACAAGGAATGTTGGATAAAGCTGAAGAGTTACTAAGAAATATGGAAGAGAATGGTTGCATGCCTAATAGCTGCACTTACAATGTCTTTGTCCAAGGTTTGGTAGGAAAAAGAGAGACTGCAAGGTCAATAAAATACCTTACAGTGATGAGAGACAAAGGTTTTTCTGTAGATGCTACCACCACAGAAATGATTATCAACTACTTATCCGCTAACGAAGGAGATAATGGATTTCGAGAATTTTTGTTTCCAAAATAATGTTTTTCAAGAGTTTCAATAGATATGTTTATTTGAATTCAACCTTTCAGTTCATCCCTTTTCTATGATCCAAATGTGAGAACCGGCAGCACAGCCTTAGACTTCAAAGCTTACGCTTAACTAAATAGTTTAAAATCATTACCGTTGAAGTGCTTCTGCCTGACAATTTATACGATCAAAAGAATTGGCTGGCCCTTAACAGAGTTGCTCCTCGACATATTCTGTGGTGAGTATTTTAATGCCCTTTTGCAAACTTATTATAGCATATCTACAACTCATTTAAAATGTCTTTTAGAATACATGGACCTATATTCATAGGTTAGGCCTTATTCTTTGCATTTATGGAATTGAGTAATTGTTTACTTGGGTATATATTTCCTTGACTTAAACAGTGTTTCGTGATGGCCAAGTTACATTTGGAGGGAAGAAAACCGAAGTTTGCAGACCAAGTTACTGATTGTTCACACGAGTAAGGGCACTTCAACCACAGATGTAGGTTTTTGGAAGGAAATACTGGATTGGCTCCACATCGAGCAATGATACTAATAACTAATAAGGTTGGCTACTGTATTTAGATTTATATAAGCACTGTTATTCTGATTGATTCTGCTAAAGCAACCATTTGTTCTTCTTGGATGACATGACACGGTTTTTTAAAGTAAAGTCATAGCATGCAATTGTGCTTGTGGATTGGATTAAGTTATGACTTATGTCTATAAAGATGACAATAACCTGTTTTAATCTTCGAATGTTAATAATTTTTAAACATCTGCATGAAAACGATGTAGATGATGATGATCTTATGTATATGATTATGATTTTGGGCTAGTCCTTCTTTTGTCACCTTATTTTCTAGCCTACATGAGTAAATAAATCAAGGGAAGTGAAGCTGTATGATAGTGTCTGAGACTAAACAGTCAATTGAAACACCAAACAATCTTATCTTGAAAACGATGTCTATGGTTATGGACTAGTTGTAAACAATCTGTCTGACTTGTAACTTTGAATCTGATATGTTTATCTCTAATTCAATTGTATTTTGTTGTCTTTGTAGTTAAAGATGTTGCTGTTTTATGAACTTCACCGGTGACCACTGTGTGCGGAACTTCACCACCTTCATTGTTATTTTTTGGCCATTGTGGACCACTATTGAAGAAATTAATCCGACTATCTTCTTCCCAATGAGCTCCAAAGTAAAACTCACAAGTTTTTTTTATTGAAACAACATCACCGGTGACCACTGTGTCCAGAATCACCGCCTTCTCACGAGGAAGATTCTGTCAACAACTACTTTATCTTCTTCTTTTTCTCTTGGTGAGTTTTCTTTTATAAGTCTCATTTGAATTCATTTTCCTCAACTTTTGTTAAACCCTCAATTCTTTCTTTATTATTATTTTGAGAGTACCATATATCAATTTGGCCATAAAATCTTTCAATACCAATGATTTATAGAAAAGTATGATATAAAATTACAACAGCAATAAAAATTGTTAAATAAAATTGTGTTGCAATCCATCTTCTCTATATTGAGACCATCTTCTCCTTTACCATTTTTTTTTTCTTTTTTGCACCTGCTCTTTGAGTTGTCACCACTGCCATGTTTGTTGGTATCATGCGGCATCACCACTCAACCGTGCTATAGCAGTTTGAAGATCACAGGATCATGTGACACAGACCACGCATATAGGAATATTAAGAGATCAAGAGAGCAATCTTCTTCTCTTGCGCCATTTGTGAAGTGTTTTTTTTACGATGTCAGACATTTTTTCTCTATTTTTGGCACATAGCGTGTTTTTCGGTTTATTGCTGTCATCAACTGTGCTGCTTGTCATACTAATAAGACATGACAATGATCCACTTTTATTACTTTTCTTTTTTTATATATATGGAGAAGATAGTCAATTTGTGTACTCGGATGGATATAGAAAATTAGAAGGACCCTCCTTTATGTATGTTTCACATAAAGTTCATAATTCATTTGTCTAAATTGCTCTCCTTATTATTTGCATCATCATGATTTTTTTCTCTCAATATGTTTACTCATACAGATTCGGTGCTTTGTCGGTAATGGTGGTAATGATTAGAGTCGTTAGTGGTGTTCCGGATCCAACAGAAAAAAATGCATTGTGCGTGGAGAGGAGGATAGAGACCACATTCCACAGATGTTAAAGAAGTGCTCTGGTTCAATTTCAGATCCCAAGGCTATGCAATACATGACCAATGATTCTTGATGACAGTTACTACAGAAATATCTTTGTACAACAAGGATTTGTTAATAATAATAGATCATTAATTAGCATATGACAAAAGAATCAAGCCTTATGTGATCAAAACAGTGCAGTGTTGTTGCTAACAAACATCGCCATGAATTGATTTCATGGTGGAAGAAATAATGTGTAAGATATTATGTATAAATAAAAGTGTTTTGGTTTAGTGAAGGAGCTAAGAACATTTTATGGTGATTGGAGAATCTAGATGCCTTTAATTTTTAATTTTCTTTGATATGTAACTTTGTTTTTATATATTTAATATTGGCATGTTGATTATGTGATGCATGATATTTATTTTATGTGATGTGATGTTGTGTCGTCCATGGATGGCACATAGTGACAATGTTTATGATTTTAGTGATCATAATTTGTTCTTTTGTACGCACTAGTAATAATGCACACAATGTGCATGGTATAGTATAATGCAAAGTAAAAACATTAAGATTTGTGATAGCTAATACTATGGATAAATACTCGAGGAATTAATAAATGGTTAAATGTAGAAATTTTAAAATAATTAATAATAACCATAGTGTATAGGAGAATTAAATTTATGAACATGAAGCTATGGGAGATTGAATGGAGACAAAGAAAAGAAATTTAAGTCACTTAGAATCAATTTGGTTTAATGTATGAGAGATTGACCATGAAAGCGATCTATCTACTACAACGGATGATGGTGTAGTGTCGAATGGACCAACAAAATTGTACTTAATTTTTGTTGACTTGGAGAAAACATATGATAGAGTATGTAGAGAGATTTTGTGGAAAGCCTTAGAAAAGACAGGATTTAGGATTGTACATATTTGAATTATCCAAGATGTGTACGAAGGGGTATCAACTAGTGCGCGGACACAAGGTGGAGAGACGGACGATTTTCCATTACAATAGATTTGCACCAAGGTTCTACTTTAAACCCCTATCTTTTTACTTTAATTTGGATGTACTCACGGAGCACATCCAAGAGCTAACACTTAAATGTATGCTTTTTGCATATGATATAGTCTTATTAGAAAATTTGAAGGAGGATCCAAACGAGAAGTTGGAGACTTGAAGACGAGTTTTAGAAACTGTTCTGAACTGGTCCGAGACCTTCCCCTCAGCCGGGCAGGCCCAACCCACGTTAGGGAGGTCCGGCAAGGCCCAATTCCCCCATGTCGGACACGCGTAATACTGTCATCGGACAGACCACTACCTAGCACGCGGAGCTCCCACACGTCTCCCCCACGGATTCCACGTGCCCCCCACGCGGGGACACATCATCAAACAACTACCCACCTCTCGAAAGAACTGGTCAGCCCACCTTCCGAAGATCACGGGACAATTGATCCAGGGCAAATACCACGTGCTGGTCTTTCATACACCACGTAAGCCCTGACAGTTACTCGTATTGAGCATTGCGATCAAACCCAATGCAAAGTAACCGTTGGCCCTGCGCTAGGGGCACATTATAAATACCCTCTTTCACTAGAGGGTCAGGTATTCCATTCTACACACCTAATCTCTCTGTACTTACTTTTTCTAAAACTCCGTTACTCACTTAGGCATCAGAGTACCTTGCAGGTACACCCCCTCATCCTCATCAACACTGGTGAACACAAGAGCTCACGACGCGTGGTAGACCGATGATTCCTTTCTGATCAGGTAATATCAGAAACACATGGTTGTCGTCTAAACAATAGTAAGACGGAATATATTAAATGCAAGTTCATCAAAAAAATGAACATTTCTAACTTAGAGGTGAAAGTTCGAGACCATATTAACCCACAAGTAACGATGTTTAGATATCTTAGATTCGTAATACAAAATGATGGAGAAATAGAAAGAGTCGAAATCCTCTCCATTTTGTGCATTACCAAAGTTTTGAGAATATAAATATAATAGTTTGACATTTGATGGATCAATTTTTTTATACACTATAAATGTCTTCAAAACTATAGTAATGGAGAGGAAAATGGATACAGAATGGAGAGGATCCTAACTTAAACACAAGATGATGTAACTATTAAATTTAAGTTGGGTGGTTGAAATGAAGGAGGGCTTCAGGAATTTTTTGTGACAGAAAGACATTGCTCAAGTTGAAGGGAAAATTTTATCGAACTGTGATAAGACCTGCGATGTTGTATGAGACATAATGTTTGATGTAACACCCCAATTGAATTATCTAATTCTATAGAATAATCTAATTGTATTGTATGTGTTTTGAATGGTTGAGGTAGTAAGGGAGCCTTGGGTATGGGGTAGTGTCTCTAGACTATTAGAATTTTAAGTGAGGGATGTGGTAGTAATTAACAAGAAGTAGGAGGTGTTGGACAAAATGAGATTAATAGTATTACTATTAGATTTAATTAAATTAATTAATTAGTAATAATAAATAAGTTAATATTTATTTAAAATAACAATAATAATATAGAGATAATATTTCTTTTCTTATTATTTTATTGGATAGTTGACATAATGATATGATTTAGAATATATATATATATATATATATATATATATATATATATATATATATATATATATATATATATATATATATATATATATATATATATATATATATATATATATATATATATTTGAATTTTTTAGTTTGGTTAAATATTATAGTAATAATAATAATAGTAATATTTAAAAATAAATTAAAAATAAGAGATTTAGTTGGTCTACTTATAAGAAGGTTAGAAGAGAAGAGAGAGTGGAGAACATACATGAAAGAATTGGAAA